TGGAAATGTTCACCTTCAAAATTTCAGCATTTAATATGTAAACTCCAATATATTATATTACCAAGTATTGCCAAAGTAATGTTTTAGTACTTTGCGGCAAAAATCTTCTACAATTTTTTCTTTAAATAAGTATAATATAGAAATAAGTATAAGAAATAAGTATAATATAGAAATATTATTGGAATCTTATTTAAAAAATGAGGAGGCCTAGAGTGGTGCCATTTCTTTTATTAGAGTAGTGTAAATTTGCAATTTGATGGAATTCTTCTTCTTGCATGCCGAGTGACAAGACATGCTGTTGTCACATTTCAACTGTCTTCAGTGCAGATATGACATGCGTGCGTGCGCACGTACGTGCGCGCGTGTGCGCTCGCTTCAAAAGTTTCTCTCTCTAAAGAGCACACGCGGAGAGATATTCATAGGTTGTATGCGATTTTAATTTTTTAGCATGAGCGTAACTTGAAAAATACTTTAATAAACAATTCTTCACATTGAGAGAATTATTGTCCAGTTTTCAAAAAATCAGTTTAATATTCTGTTTAATATGAATTCTTTCTCTGTAGAAATTGTATCAGATATTAAACTAATAGGAAAATACTACACATTTTTATTTTCATTAGCCATTTTATTTTCATTAGGCTGCCTTTATATTTTCCCATAACAGAAATTTAAATATGAGATAAATATTGATAGATATACGTGCATAGGTAAACGAAAGATATAATATTGCCGTGTCGTGTTTATATTGTGTTGTTACTTTTTAAAATCGTAGCATGTGCTTGATTTTTGTCATGTTTTTACCATCATGCATATAAATTCGATTTCTGACATTTGCCAATATAATATAATGATATCACAGTATACTGCCTCAATATGAAATGTTCAAAATGTACTGTTTTTATTTCCAAGAATTCTGTTTAATTTTTGCAAATTTTTTTATAATTTATCTTGATATTGAAATTATTCGTTTTCTACTGCACATTTCTACCGATACTAACTGAGATGGCAGATCATGCTCGGTTACTATCCGAGTTCTACCAACATAGTATGTAGTACACAAATAGTAATATATGATCTTGGCAGTCTTGGCTATCTAGGTAGAAATCAGTCCCTATAGAACACAGAATGTTGAAAGAATGCTACTGAGATGTTGCAATATTGAATGTTGATATGTCAATATTTTATCAATGTTGTATCTATATTGGTCTTCTACATTGATTGTTAATGTTGTTGCAATATTGAAACAATATTGAACAAATTGAACCATCAGTTGAACCTTTATTGATTTTTCCACATAAATTGTTGATGTTGCTGTAACGTTGAAACGACATTGAATAAATTATATATTGAAATCTATTTTATTGTGTAAAAAATAAACAAAAGTAAAATGTCATGTAAATAGAAAATTTAAATCATTTAAATTGATCTTTTAACGAAATTTATCTCTAAGCGACATATGTCTACGTGAGAATCGGCCGCGCGTGCAGAATGTGATATTGTTTGTGTTGACCGATTCGATATACGACGTCGATTCATGATCTTTCTATATATCTATATGTCACTACATCTTCTATATATCTATATGTTATACATCACTAACATTTAATGTTCGTGGATCATTGAAACAACAATTCTCGTAAATTGCAGAGGTTTGGCACCATTAGATGGGATACAAGATTGGATGAGTGACTGCTTAGAAAAGAAGGAAACTAATTCCCAAATGAGGGAAAGCGTTTTTTTTTTTCAATTATAATTTTATCGTGCGTGTTTCGGAATATGATGTTAATCACACATATAATAATACTTAAGTATTTTAGTAATAAAATTGAATTAATTAATGTGCGAAAAATGTTTTATGTCTTACGGACGTTGCAATTCAACGTTTTTATAACGTCTCTTCAACATTGAATCTACACTTCGCGATGTTGTTGCAATGTTCACAATGTTTCAATTCAATGTTTTTGAGATATTGGACATGTTCAAAAGCTAACCTGCTCACCAAGCAAATTAATATGATTGGTTGTTACTTATAGATTCAATAAGAGTTGCAACATGAAAAAATCGCATTTTGATTGGTCCGGCATGTTTCAACAATTCCCACCTATATTTGAATATTCCACCTATATTTATATTATTCTTAAATTTCAATAACATAATTAATATTAATTATTTTAAAAATTATTTTAAAAAATTATTAACAAATAGATTTCTTACATTACAATGCATAAATCGAAATAATGCCAGAAAAATTGTTTATTTTAACCTATTTTTTTAATAAAATGATTTAAAAATTTAATTGTGTACTTTGAAACGAGAATTAAAAATGACAAAAAGTGAACAAGCTCATTAGAATATTTATAATTTCATTAGTTAACATCTAATAAATTTACTCAATTTTATAATTTTCACATCGTTTCAATTTGATAAAATTGCGTAGAACTAATTGCCTTGATCTTAACATGTTATCAATTTTGTAATTTTGATTGACATTAAAAGGTTTTTAGCGTTAATAATTTTAATTTTTTTAAAATTGCTAATTTAATATTTGAGGCATGCATATAATTAGTGTATTAATTACGTACATAAAAAAGTGAAAGAAAGATTTATAATAATTGTATTTTTAATGAAATATATGTTTTTAATTTTTAAATAATAAATTTATGTAAATATTATTTAACTTCGCAGAGAAAAGAATTTGCTGTTGCAATCAATTTTTCACACCATTTTCCCAACATCTTTTGCTAACATTTTTCGCTTATAAAGCACGACATTCGGTATTTCGAGGAAATGCTTTCATTATGTGTCCTTTGGCTACTAAATTATTGCAAAATAGAGTTGCACACCTAATCATTTTTAATAATTATCAGTATAATCAAGTACAACATATGTACACGTGTTCCGTCAGCGTAGGTTTAGATCATTATGTTAGAGATGTGTTAAGGTTTAGACAAAGATATAATATATTTCTCTCTCTGTTAGCGATTTTATTACAATTACTACCCTGTATACAAAAAGTCGATTCGTGTTAGCTTGTGTCGCGACTTTTATTATAGGATCTTTAAATTCAACCAATCACATTCAATCGCTTGGCGAGCAAGCTAGCTGCTTTATCTTCGGATTGAACGCACTCATCAACATTAGTGCGCGCGCCAATGCTGCCTACTCCATGATTGGCTCTGCCGCTTTGTTGTGAAAGCGGTGAAAGAAGTGACATCATACTTTACAATTGACCTGCTTGCAGACGTGATAATAGCGTATTATGGAGAGTGAAATTAATTTAATTCATGAAACTAATTTAATTTAATTTAATTTAATTAATTCTTAATCTGTTAAAACCCTTTATTATTCTGAAGAATCCATCAATCCATATCATCTCGTTTAAAGTTTGTGCTCCAGTAATATCGTCTTTGCTCATGAATTTCAATTTACTTTATTATGAGCACATGTTCAGAAATTCAAGCTATATCTCTAGAATTCATTCTCTTTTCAATTCATTCTCTTTCGCAGAACGAGTTTTTTACAATAAATAATGCATGAAATCATGAATGAAAATATGTCATTAGAACTTTTGGTATATAAAATAAATGAATAAAAATTCATATACAAATACATTTTATGTTCAAATTAATCTAAAAGTGCTATTATGAAATTGTATAGGGTGTATCTGAAATAATGTCTACTATACTCTGAAATAATGTCATAGTGCTGTTCTTAATAAAAAAAACTGAGTCGAAAAGTCCTCTACATTTCGCAATTTTTACAATATGCAAGTAGTAAGGTAGTTATTTCATTATAAAATACTTAGATCACTTCACACACATGCATGCACGCACATACTCATGCACGCACATTGATAGTGACGCGCATTTTTAAAATCACGTCATTTCCGATTTCACAACATCATGCCAGAGCTTTGCCTGATTTCTATCTAGAGGATCTCTATTAATCTCTCTTCTTATCGAATCATTTTGAGCTTTTGGGCATCTTTACTACTAGCTCCGATTCCTGTGGCAACTGACTCCAAAACTTTCATAATTACCACTTGGAAAACTAGGAAAACCGAGAAGAATCAAGGAAATTGAAATTGGTCATGGAAAATCGGGAAAAATGTAAAAAAATTTGGAATTTTGAAATTTGCTCACAATTTCCTTAAATTGCTCCTATTCCAAATAATTGTTATAATTTTTCAATATTATATCTTTATAGTTATTGTAAATACATTCAAAACTTGCATCTTGTAAATGATTTTAATAAAATAATTAAAAAATATAGATTTTATTCAGTATTTTTATTCGATCCTCCTTTTTCATAATTGCATTCTTTTTTCTAATACTAATTTATTTTTTTGTTGGCTTAAATTTGCATTCAAAAATTTTTTTATTATGCCTTTTTTGCATGTTTTTAATAATAGACTAGCTTTCCTTTGACTCTAAATCTGTTAAAATTTACATATGTTTATGTTTATTTTCATCTGGAAAATCTCAGAAAAGTCAAGGAATTTTAAAATTCATTTTCTGATTTTATTTTTTCAATCCCAGCAATCCTGATTTTATTTTTTAAATCCTAGCTCTCTCTCCCTGAGGAATAGCAGATTGAATCCCACTTCTGAAGCTGTAAGAAATAAACGAAAACACGAGAAAAATCAAGACGCTTTGAGATTCGAACCGAGACTTGATCTTCATGTTGATAGACTTCTGTTCTGCCAACGAGTCACATAGACACTGACTCTGATAGTTTCTTTGTTGTACTTCCTCTAAATTTCTTACAGCACTCTTTCTCTTTTCATTTTGTACGCGGCTGTTTCCTATCAGATAATTTTCTGTCGTGACCTCTTCTATAGTAAACACATTGTACTTGTATTTGTGACTTGTTATTAATATAAGAAAGCAAATTAACTTGACGTTTTTAAGATTTTAATAATAGATAAGAAATGAGGAACAAAACTATTGATACAGTTTAAGAGATTTTGTTTAATAATGAGATTATTTATATTTGACCAGTTTATGGAATGCCCTTACAATTTGGCAAGAAATCGTCAAACAAGAATGCTGGCAGACTTATCGATAGTTGGCTGTTATAACTCCACTCTTAGCAAAACTGATAAAGAACGTCTAATATTGGCTAGCGCTAAACACAACTTACAATTTATGCCTTTCTTCATGTTGACTGAATACCAGAAGGTATGTATATATTAAAATATACACAATTTATTTTTATTGTTATTGTCATTATTATTTTTAGATAAATATATTATTGTCTACTATAACTTTTTGTTACAATGCTCATTTATCATATAACTTAACTATAAAACTTTTTTTATTTAGTGTATTTATATAGTGTATTAGCATTCAACAATTGATACACTTGGAGGCGAGAGAACGCTTCATGTAAAAAAAAGATCCCTTTTAGAGTGAGATTTTATTTATGCGTTTTTGTCATACGACAATTGTGTGCAGGACAGAGAAGTCCTCGGAGAATCTATTCTATAACAAATCAATAAGTTTAAAAAATTTCTCATACGGTAAAAACGCACAAATAAAATCCCTTCTTTATCCTTATTCTGAGCACTTGATATATGTTATTGGTAACTTTCTGTTAAATTATCTTAATTTTATCAATGCGTGTAAACATGTCTGTTTAATTAATCATCTTGGTTATACTAGCGTGGTACACTATTCTTTAAATGCATTGCCGAAATTAAGATAATTTAAGAGAAACTTATTGGGTGTACAACTTTGCTTCCGCCGTTTTTTTCCGAAATTCGAGGCTTTATTGTAAAAAATTGGTTATACATTTATGATTCAAAGTATTGTCTATCGCTGGCCACTACTTTCTCCCATCTTTCGGGTAGCGTACGAATCCCGCGTCGAAAAAACTGGTCATCTTTTGAGGCTATTCACGAATCGATTCAATTTTTTACTTCTTCATAAGCCCGGAAGTGCTGGTCAGCCAGGCCGTGTGCCATTGATCGAAACAAGTGATAGTCAGAGGGAGCAGTCTGGAGAATACGGCGGGTGGGGTAGGACTTCCCATTTCAACGTTTCCAAGTATGTCTTGATCACTTTCGCAACATGGGGTCGAGCATTCTCATGCTGCAAAATCACTTTATCGGGTCTCTCGTTGTATTGCGGCCGTTTGTCTTTCAATGCTCGGCTCAAACGCATCAATTGCGTTCGATCGCCTGTGATTTGTTTCAGTTCGGTTTTAACAGTTCATAATACACTACGCCGAGCTGGTCCCACCAAATACAGAGCATGACCTTGGATGTCAAAATCAAAACCGTCAAAACCGTTCTTGAAGCGTTGAAATCACTCACGACACGTTCTTTCATTAATAGCGGCCTCACCATAAGTATTTGAGAGCATTCGATGAGCCTCAGCCGCAGATTTCTTCATATTGAAACAAAAAATTAAAATCTCCCGCAAATGACGAGAATTTGGCTCGTAAACTGACATTTTCAATCGAGAATAACTTTATGATGCAGACACAAATCGACTAATGTTTCTATGGGGTTATGTTGACAGATGCCCAAGTTTATTGTATGACGTCTATGATCTATTTATTTCGACCACCACTTACCGCTAAAGCCATCTATAGGAAAACGGCGGAAACAAAATTGTACACCTAATACTACTAATGATTTTTCTATGAGTAGAAGCGTTTCAAGATTATCTTCACTTTTTAAAATAAAATTGATTTTTTTACACATATGATTCCTTTAATTATTTTGCATATAAAAGTATTGATGATATAAAATTAATGATATAAAAAAAAATCAATAGTTTACATTTATAATATTCTTGAGACTTCCACAGATATTTTCTATATAAAGATTATGCATTTCGCGGGATTCCAGATTCTTGGAATGCCAATGTTTCGTGAACTTTGCAGTCCACATCATCAAGGCGAGCATCTGATACTGAGCTTCCTCTGGATCGTTCCTTTTTTATATTACGCTACTTGTTGGTGGAAGGAAAGAAGAGAATTGTAGGTAGGGGAGGGGGAGGGAAGATAGGGGAAATCGGTCAGTCTTCAATAACTGAGAGAATGGTTTTCCATATTTATGTTGTAGTCATTATCTCTATTTAGATTGTTAGGGTGTTTTTGTATCTTTATGGCTTCTCTATACTTTCTTGGTTTTTACATTTATTTTATACTTTATTTTGATATATTGACATAAAATATTAAATAACTCGTAAATTATTAATTTTTTATACATATCTTAATACTTTTATGAACAGAATAATGAAATGAATCAATTGGTGAAAAGAAAACACATAGCTTTAAAAAAATATGTATGCAAAAAGGATAATTTTTTAAATAAACAACTATGAGTTTTCTTTTTCATGCATCATAATAATGCGTAAAAATTTTTTACATTAAAAATTATATTCCTTCTGTCAGAAGCATTTTCTTTCAGGAAACTCTCATCAAAATAGCAAATTATAGCTTACATAAAAAATATATCTTTTTGCTTACAAATTTTAATTATAAATTTTTGTTTACAAATTTAAAAAATCTTTCTTTGTAAATTTAAACCTCTATAAGTCTCCTTTTAAAAAGATTTTTTTTTAACAATTTGTAGCAAAAAGATATTATACTTTATTATAAAAAGATATATTATATAATATTATATTATATTTTTTATGTAATCTGCTACTTTTTGAGAGTTCTCGTATTCCTTGTTGAAATTTTCCTGAAAAAAAATTCTTCTGACAGAAGGAATATGATTTTTAATGCAAAAAATATTTTCGCATTATTATATTACGTGAGAATATTACGCTATAGCGGCGAAGTCAGCGACATAGTAGCGCTTACTAATGATCCTCCTCCTCTTTCAATAATCCTCCGAAAGCATAACGGCACCTCATAATTGAATAAATTTGTGCCAGTCTTCTTTCCTGAATTAGTTGTTCAGTTTCATGAAGATTGACTTGATTGATCCGCCCACCTGGTGTTCGATGTGCTTCTAGGACGTTTCTCTTCCATTTTTCCCTCAACATTCATCCTCTCCATTGTCTTTGTACCTCTCGCCAAAATACTGAAGATAAAGATGATTAATTTTTTGTATCAGTCTGGAGCCAACCCTGAGTTCATCTAGTTCACCGACTGATTATGCAATGTTCAGTCCACGAAATCCTCAGAATGCGTCTGTACACCCTTAGCTCAAAGGCCTTTCTCTCTTCTTCTCAACCTTTTTCATAGTCCAAGTCTCCGCCGTGTAAGTGGTTATTGGAAAAATGAGGGCATTCAGTTTCAACTTCGTGTAAGTGTCCTTCTATATTCTTCCCAGCTTAGCAATGGCAGACCTCGCCATACTAAGTCTTTGGCGTATTTTTTCTCTCATTCTCCATCGTTTGTGATAAGCGATTTCAAGTAGATAAATTTATTGACAACCTCATACCTGGCTTCCGAACGTGCGACAAGTTCTGTCAATTCATCACCTTTAATGCTAAGCTATATGCCTCGCTTATTAATCGTAATTTATTCATGATGTCCTCCATTTTCTCTGCACTCGTCGCAACTATGAGGGTATCATCCACATATCGTAAATTACTAATCTTCCTTCCCCCAATCAATATGCCTCCTTGTATTTCTCTAAAATCTACCTCATGACATATTCGCTGTAGATGTTAAAAAATGAAAGGGACAGGATACAGCCCTGTCTTATCCCGCATGTACTTGAAAGTTATTTGAATATGTCTGGTCTATTCGAGTCTTGCTATATTTTCCTGATATAAGCTGCGAATCATTCGGATCATATTTCGGTGTTCTCATCTCTTCCAAAATTTTCCAGCAGATTCCATCTCACCTTATCAAACGCCTTATTATAGTTAACAAAACAAAGAAATAACCGAATAATTGCCTTCTCTAAGTTATCTGATATTTAGAATTTGTACTCTCGTACGCCTACCTGGGATAGGCCTCCGGCCTGTTCATCCGATATCTGTGGCAAAAAGAACAGTTTCAATCATCCGTGTATAATGTGCAGAAGGATCTTACTAGCGTGCGATACCAGTGCTACTATTGTATATATTCCAAAGGTGAACTATAGTTCATACATTCCAAAAGTGAGCCCTTTTTAAAGATGGGAACAAACATCGACTCCCACCAATCCACGGTCTCTCATACAATGTATGTTATATATTCTGTGGATATGAATTCATTCCTTTTTCTCTCATGGCTTTCAAGATCTCGGCTGTTACTGTTTCCGGAGATTTTTTTTGTTTTAAGAATTTTATTGCTCTTTCGACCTCTTCGCATTATGCCGGGTTCCTCTAGTGGGTATGCATCATTATCCATCGAGTCGTAATCATCCTCACAGTTCCTGGCAGTATCTCTTTCACCTCGATCAAATTATTAACCTCCACTCCTTGTTCGTTTTTGATTGTTTGTTCGCGGTATAAACTCTCTAGACAGATATTTGATTTTGTTGAACGGGATTCATGGTGGTTAGAATACCATTCAAATTCCACATATTGAGATATATTCATTTTTATTTCATCTGCTAGCTGTTTTTATATTCCGGTTTATTTGTTCAAGCCGTGTATGTTTACTATCGTCTCTGCTTCGGCTTTTCTCTGTTCAACAAGTTGTAATGTATTGTCAGTCATCCAATGCTTTTTTAAATAATTTTTGATTTAGAGCATTGATTCACGGCGTTTATAATCCTCTGTCTCCTGCCATCTGAGCAATCTCCCATTTCTGGTATCCTCTTATGTTCCAAAGCGATTCGGAATTGTTCCGGGTTTCATCAACTGTCATTTCATGCTGAATTCAGGTTGTTTTTTCAATTTAATTCTAAACTTAGCCATAGCAGATTGTGGTCTGAGCATCTGCATCACGCTTCATCTTTGCATTAAATATTGAGGATCCTTCCATCTAAATCTAATTAGAAAATAATAAATTTAGTTTTTTGTGTGGTCATCGGGACTTCTGTTGATAGATATCTAGGATGATGTTTAAAGACGTTGACACACACACACACACATACACACAAGTCAATTTATTCTCAATAGCGAAATCTAACAGTTGCTCCTCCCTGTCATTTCTCTCTCCAAGATCATACTTCCCCACAATTGATACTTTGTCCTCTGCGGTCTTTCTGACTTTCGCATTAAAATATTTATTACAGACTCTTTGGCCGGTATTTTGGTTGCTAACTGTTTTATGACAGAGT